AAAACTGGTGTAAAATAGTGACCTTAGCCTTTATTTGCCCACCTTGATCTAATCACCGCATCTTCAACCCTGACATTTGTTTACGTTATTGAATTCCAGCTTTTAAATGACAACTTCTGACTAAGATCACACGATATAAACAACATTTTTAGATAAGGACACCTTATTATTATTATTCTCTATAAATACCTGTGGCCAAGTACTGAGGGAGGAACATTTGAAACTTTTGGTAAATGTTTTTCAATGAGAGAATTGTTTAGAGTGCGATGCCTGATCTCTGCCCTGTCACGTGAAGGTCACAGCTTCATGAAAGGACAAAACGCTTTTATACCAGCCTGAACGTTTAGTCTGAGCCGCCCTTTGCCAGACAAGGTTTGGACTGTCTCATAGCATGACCTGGGTCTCAGATGGGGAACTTTCCACCAGACAGACAGCCGTCACCTCCACCTTCCACTGGGTGCTTTTACACAGTACTCTGGTCACTACCAACTAAAAACAAAGCAGGGTGTGACCGATTCCTTAACGTATTAATGCTCCTTTACAGTGGCTGTGCATCATGACCAGGTGAATGGGGTCACTCGTAGTGATTTAACCCTTAGCTAAGTCCCACCCTCGACCCACAGACTGGCCAATCATAGCGTAGCATTAGCTAGCTCCAACCAGGATCAGATAGCTGTACAGCTCTGCTATCTTTTCTTCATTTTCAGGCTAGTTTTGCAACTCGAAGCTAGTCCTGGTTTAAATGTTACTGATGATACTCGTTACCCTGAGACGTTGGAAGGCGATATACCTTTCTAAAAACGTACCGTTCCTACGTAACAACCCGTGGAGCTAACATGAACAGAGTCCGTTAACAGATCAATAAATAGCGTTAGCACTTCTATGCTATGCTAGCCACTGAAGGTATACTGAAAGTATACACGTGCTGCTTTTGCTTTTTAATGATAGCAACAGTGAATAAAGAAGGCTTTACAGGAACAGCGTTCTTTAATTTCATTCCCATCTGTCTCGATCACCAGGTGATGTGGTGGTTGACTTTTACACTGTGATTTTAGGGTGGCGAATGTTAGCAAACTTAAGCAAGATATTGCTGGATACCAGACTTTATTGAGGCACTCTGTTGACTTTATGACCCTTCCCTATCTCTATGTTTTGGCATAGAGGGCAGCAGAGACTTAATGAGTGTTATCAAATAAGAGAAAGAGAGGAAAGAGGGTGACAATGTGGTTCCACGGAGCTCGACTTATCTCTGTACATGTTACATAATGAGGACATTATGTCAAACACATACATTATGTACATCAATGTATACCTGCAGTGTGTGTGTGTGTGTGTGTTATTGGATGGCAGTACTGGGACGAACAGAGAATCTCGCTCAGACGTAAAGGAGGCACAGGAGGGAGAGGGGGGAGGAAAAGGAGATCGGGTTTCCTGTTCACTCCCCCTCCCCTCCCAGGAAGGTCAGGAAGGTCAGGAAGGTCACCAGGGAGCCCCCCCCCCCCCACACTCAAAGAATCCCACTGTACAGGAAGTGCAAACCCCGTCTCTCTGGAGATCTATTTTATAAAAAGGACCAGCCATGGAGGAATGGTCTCTCTCTCTCACACACACAAAGAGCATTCGTGCCCATTAACACCCCTTCACATGATCCCAATTCACCACTCCCCATTTCAAACACTCTCTCTCGACATTCAACCTCCTCTCAGTCATTTCTTATCGCAACACACACACACACACACACACACACTACATCTCTAACACACTCCACCAGTAGAGGAGCTAACACTTGACGGAGGGTTAAGTGGGTGAGTGTCCGTTTTATTGCCCATTACGGCCACGGATCCATTAAAACTCTGCGCTGTTGTTCACTGGATGCTAATGGATAAATGCTAGAGAGGAGAGATGGACGGCAATGAAATAAAGCAGCGGGCATGTTGGGGGCGACACCCCTGCACCACACAGACGAGTGCGACGTCTCAGTCAAGATGGAATCTATTATTCCTTTGTTTCCCTGCAGCTTCTGGAGGGAACTGAGCCCGGCAGAGAGAGAGGGAGGGAGGGGGAGTGTGTGTGTGTGAGAGAGAGGAATTCAAGGTAGACAGCTGAATGCCAGCGACAAACTGTGTGTGTGAGAGTGTGTGTGTGTGTGTGTGAGACAGAGAGGAGAGAAAAAGACAACGGTAAGAGGGAAAGGTACCTAGAGGAGGAATGGAGAGAAAATGATTGCCAACAGCAAAGAGGGAGGCAGAGGAAGCTGTTTGTGCATTTGTGTGTTAGAGAGACAGAGAGAGAGAGAACTATATGTGTGTGTGACGATGTGTGTAGATATGAGCAATCATTAAGCCAGAGACTGAAGTCAGGCAGCACAGCCAGACCCCACAAACAGTGAGTGTGTGTGAGGGTGTGTGTGTGTGTGTGTGAGAGCACATATATAAGGGAGACAGAGGGGAGAAAATCAAGGACATCGAGTGAGGAAAGAGAGAGGGGAAAAACAGAGATTGGAAAGGATATAAAGAAATAAGAATAGGGAGAAAGACAGGAAGACACCCTCCCTTACACACAAACAGGATCTAGTTACCAGCCTACTGTAAAACCCCAGTTTATTTGAATAGTTATCAATGGGTGTCTTTTTTAAGCTGTTTTTATTATGAGAAATTAAAATCTAGGCAGTAAACACCTGGATTTATATTTAGAGCCATATCTCAACATTTTACTTTTATTTTGATAGTTTTAGAGGTACTGACAGGAAATGCGGGGAGAGAGGGAGGAGAGGCTTTAAGGAAATACTCAATATGTGATTAGATAAAAATACAAAACGAGAATCAAGCTTTCTTTTTGACCTCTAAAGATGCAGATGTTTGGCTTTTTTATTCTTGATAGCCGACTACAACAGCAGATCAACTTGGCCTCGATGTCACAACTTACTTTGAGGTGCTGGTGAGAAACGCATTAAAGCGTTTCTGCACCTTTTATGACACAACTGCGGGAACGAGTGATGTAAGTTTACACTGAAAAATGCCACCAGATCTCAGCAACAAGAAACTTCAACAAGTCAAAGCTGCTCCTCTGAGAGGTGCAGGAGGTTAAATGTCAAATCTGACATAGTTCAGAGAGACTGGTGTGTGTGTGTTTGTGTGTGTTTATATTGTGTGTCTGTGTGAAACACAGCTATGTGGAGTAGAGTCTGGTTACAATCCAGCAAAGGGAACACCTCACTGCCCTGTCCGTCAACATGTGTGTGTGTGTGTGTGTGTGCGCCTGTGTGTGTATGTGTGTGTGTGTGTGATGCAGTAAGACCTTCTTAGGCTATAAGAGCAAGAGGGAAAGACCAACAGAGAGAGAGAGAGAGAGAGAGAGAGAGAGAGAGAGTGCGCCAAGAAAATAGATTGAAAAAGAGTGATTGATGGGAAATGTGAGAGTGAATGAATGGGGGGGAGCAACCAAGAAGGTACAGAGTGAAAAGGTAAGATGAAAAGTATGAGAGACAGAGAGAGAGATAGAGACAGACAGAGAGACAGAGAGAGAGATAGAGACAGAGAGAGAGCTGCCAAGAGGCTGCATGCTTTCCTCGCTTTCACCCCATTACTCATCCATGCTCTCACTCTCTAACCCCGGCTCTCTACTCTCCCCTCTCTTTCCTTTTCTCTCTTCTGTTTTTGACTCTGAATCCATGGAAAACTGGAGGTTTACGATGCATTTAAGAACCAATCTACCACACTGTGTTTCTGCATGTGGACATTTTGTCTGTCCTTTACTGCAAAAGTGAGAAGAAAAAAAAGTGACCAAACAAAAAACTGGAAAACTCTGAGTCATACGTCTGGCACAAATCGTCCTCGGGAATCAGCAGAGGGTGCTTTAATAATAATAAAACTGTAATTCACTTGCTCAGACCACAAATGTGAAGTTTTTAGGAGGAAACGTAATGTCTTCACTACTGAAGTATGTCTGCAGGTCGTGAAAAAAGTAGAGACGTTCAGCAAATGTCTTGAAATCTGTAAAAAAAAAGGAAATGTATCATCAAGGAGAAATATTTATGTGTGCTTTTTTACTTTGTTGTCATCTTTAAATTTTAATTCCTCCTGGCGTTTACTTGAAGAGGCATTGAAGCCGGTGGAGCAAATTTGAATGCAAATTAACAATTGATGTGACATGTTTCCTTCAAAACTGCCATTGACCCAGTTCAACACAAAATCCTGGGTTAATCAATAGCCACTGTGCTGGACTTTGCATGAGTTAGTTAAGTTTTAACTAAGGTTAGATGATTTGTTAGACTGCTTTTTCAAATGGCAGGTCCGATAAACAGACACCATCATTTTTACTCTTTATAATTCCCCTATTTGCTCCTTGTCTCGATGTCTCTTCTCTGGCGTTGAGAAAATACACAACTTATGATGCCTTCACCACCCTCTGTGCCCTGCATGTGGCCGGCCGCCTCACTTGACTAATAGAGATTCTCTCTCTCTCTCTCTCTCTCTCTCTCTTCTCTCTCCTCTTCCCCCCCCCCCAACTTCACTGACTTATTAACAGCAGCAAGCAGAACTGTTTAACCCCACAAGTCCAGCATCACGCACCAAAGAGAAGAAGAAAACAAAAAGGCAGTGGAGTGGAATAGATGCTCTTGCAGGTTGTTGTGTTTAGGGGAACCAGACAAGCTCTGATCTTCTATAAATGCAGTGTGAGGCAACACACATCAGTGTACAGTCCCTCACAGACACTGTTTGGCAGCTTGCTCTGATATACTTTCACTTCTAAACAAGGAAGGGCCATAATTCAATGAACCAACAATGCTTTGGTGAGACAGTCGGTGCCCTATTTAGCTATCAGAATAAAACTGGTTCTGTTAAAATAGTTATATTTAGATTAAAACTCAAGATAGTTGGCGTTGATTAAGGGGGTGACGTGGTTTCGTAAGGAAGGACTTACATCTCTGACAATAACCACACACACACACACACACACACACACACACACACACACACACACACACACACACACAGTACCTTGATGTCAAAGTTGCAGTCGAAGCGCTTGATGAGGACGATGAAGGCGCCCGTCATGTTGTCCCTTGGGGGGGGCTCGATGGGCTCGCACGCATTTTCTGGCCGTGCCCCAATCAGGAAGCCCTGTGGGGATGACATCATCACACATGAATGGCTTAAATCCAAGTTACCCTGGAAGTCAAAGAAGCGTCAATCGAGAGTGATTTTCCAAAATAATATATCTATTATCCATAGAGAGCATTATATAGCCCCACAAATCAACGATACGACACATTTTAAATGCATTATGCTACCAGAATAAAGAGCAGTCACTATAAATCACTATAGCAGTGGCTTCATAGGAACATGAAAGGTTATCAGCACTGAGGTACAAGATATAAGTTTTGTCAGATTGTCAGATTAAAATGCAGATTTAGGGACCTGCTCAGTGAGCCCGTGTTCCCTAAAAGAGGCTGAAGACAACACAGTTACATCCCAGTATCCAGTGTGAGCTCCATGACCCAAAGTCTGGGCAGCTCCATCTTTGGTCAACTCTCCTGCTCCTTCCAGATTACCAACATCCATCAAAACAATCTTTTAATTTTTTTTTTTTTTCATTAAAATGCTGAGACGCGGCCTGCTGCAGCCCCAGATGTAACACTGGCAAATCAAACATAAATTGAACATGGTAATGCATGCATAATTAAGACATAAATTTCCACTGGAGTGAAGATTTTCACTGGCACACAAAAACGATGTGTGTGTAAGCCGCATGGCTCTACATGTCCATAAAGACCTGTGTGTTTTTGCATGTTTCATGGAGTCTAATAGCTTTCAAGACAGCTGGTGTTCTCAGTTTGGACCTTGTATTTCCCATCTCTCTTTCTCCCTCTTCCTGTCTTCGTCCCATTTCCAACAACAGCTTTTGAAGTGACTGATGAGATGGCGATAGTAAGAAGAGAGAGAGAGAGGCTGACAGAGTGATAAAGGGAAGGAGAACAAAGGCGGAAAACAGGAAAAAGATACAAATATGGAGGCAAAGGCAATGAGAGACCCACTGAAATGCAGACAAAAGAGCAGAGCCCCAAAAACAAAAAGGCAGATGGAGAAAGACAAAAATAGAAGGGTGAAGACAAAAAGAGGCAGATAGTGAGAAAAGAGAGCATAAACAGAGAAGAGATGATGAAAGGAAAATACACAGGAGACGAGGAGGGAGGGACCTGGTGTGATATGCATTTCTAAACCTCTGCTGCTCTTATGCAAGTGTGTGTGTGTGTGTGTGCGCGTGTGTGTGTGTGTGTCAGTGGCAGGGTGTGGACTGCTGTGGGACTCTGGGACTCTGCCAGCCACTTTCAACTCTCTCTCTATCTTAAAGCCAACAGACAAAAAAACGCCCGTATATCAAGGAGAGTCAGCACTTTCTCTCTCACACACACACACAGGGTTGGTGTCTGCTAGCAGCAAACTGATTCTGCGTGAGTGCATCCTCCCGGCTGCCACACCGACGACCAAAACAGCAGCTGAGCCACATATGGAAAATGACCACAATGACACATCACACATTTGCTGACAATTCGAGCCAAGCCGCACGACAAAAGAGACAAAGTTGCTGACTGGCTGCACCGCCCCGGTTTTAGTCCAACATTAATAAGAGCTGACGTACGAAAGGTCAAATTCGGGGATCAGTGAGAGCAAACATGAGGGAATCACCCATCACCGTCACCTCTGGGTGCCGCTCCAGTGCAGCCCCGCCTTGCAGTCAAATGACATCACTGTGCCACTGCCTCACATTCCCTTCTACCAGATTTTGAAACCACTGCAAGGGCGCCCTCTGTTGGGTAGAAAAACGTCTTTAAAAAAAAAAAAGAAAACTGCAGTGAGGAGAGGGCAGTGGGAAAACAGGAAATAACTGAGGAAGGAGGGGAAATCCTGAAACCCTTGACTGAAAGGAGATGTAGATAAATTGCTGTCTGCCCAACTTTTAACACCACAAGACTGTAATACCACCTTAAACTGAATATACATTCCCACTGCTCTGTCAAGACTTCAGGCTGGGTGACATGGGGCTTTTTTGTGTGTGACTATTTATATTTCAATCATAATGTAGTGCTGCCTTTACGGCAAATATGAGGTTCTGCTGTCTGCATAAGCCACGATGAATTGTACGTATGTTCGAAAACCAACATCATTTAGGCAAAATTCTTGTCCATCGATTGTTGGGGAAATAAAGACACAGTGGAAAAAAGACAAACTACCTCCCTGAGAAGACTTGTGTTGTAATGATACCAGACTAAGTTGTCCATCAGTTAGAAAAAGCTTAATGTTTGTAAGGAACATGTGGAAATCAGAAAATCAAAACACTGAAGTAAGACGCTTATTGCTGCTTCTTTCGGGTCTTAAAAGCTTGACTGCAACCGGACGTAATGATAATCATCTGCCGCAAGTTTTGAGAAGATAACCGTGTGAATTTAGTGAAAGATTCCCTTCACCATAAACATACAGTATATTGTTGTTTTCATTGAGAACTAGAAATGAAACAGTCGCAATCAACAAACCAGAGAATCTGCTGTTTCACTAATACAATGCAAAGTGCTGACAGACTAAGAGGGATTTTCTGTTGTTGCAGAATCCAAGCAGGAAGAGGGGATTTCTCGAGTGGACTATTCTAAATTATTGCACAGTGGGCCACACGTAATCCCGCCACTAACAATCGGGCTTGTTTGCAGATTTGCTCTGGGGTAGGAAAAAAAACAGAGGAATTAATAACTCGCTCTAGCCTGACTGGGGCTTCCTGTAAGGAGATTATAGCTCACATTCATTGATGTTCAGACCGCCCTCCCTGCAGTTTAAAGGTGAAAATAATGTGGGTTTGTTTCTGGGTCACATTCTAAACTGAATGAGACAATGTGGGTTTGCCTGAAAGTCCCTCAAAAGAACAAGAGAAGGACAGAGTAAAGCTTTAAGTTCATCATTGTAAACGTACAGTGAGTATTCTGGACACTGTCTGGAAACTATCTGCTGTAAAACATCTACGATCAGTTCATTACCATACATTTTACGAGAAGCAGGCACAAGAGAAATGACTCATGCTGGAGCATTAAACTCATTAGTGCATCATCTCCATGACCAACCATTGATGAAACGGAGAGCAAAATAAACCCCTCACATCTTCCTTTCAGAGTCAAGTTTGCGTGTTTGACACAGGCGATGTGAGCTTGTTTAAGCCGACAACTGGCTTGATTATTATATAAACCAAAAAGGACGAACAATGTTTCTGATTACACATTTGGCCTCGAGCAAAACAGAGGTGGTTCTCAATGTGGAGCCCAGGGCACCATCAGCTTAATTTTCGCCGTGTTTCTCCTCCCGCAGCGTTGCCAACACATCCGTCAAAATACATCAAAACGTGCGGCCTGATGGGGAATCGCGTGCTATGACGTTTCTCAGAGATTCACCCAGCCGGTTTCCCGAAAATCGCGAAAGACTGAGAGAAATTTCCACATACACACACACACACGGGATTTTGGCGTGGACAGAGCTAAAAAACGTTGGACCCACGTTGACTAGCCATACTTTAACGTAGAAAAATGATTTGAAGTTTAAAATGTGAACAACACTCCGGCCTTTATTGGGCCAAATGGGCATTTTGACAGCTAGCACAGTTTTCATGTAATCACAGCTTAAGTTTCAGGAACATTTTGGGACCGTTTCAGATTTTATAATGGGTGTGTATTGCACGGAATGTTCAGATCTAGAGCGGTGACATCACCGCCAGAGTGGAGAGGAGCATGAGAAATATTCTGTAAGTTTTCCAAACAACTTGCTCTTATTCCCATAGTTTTCACTCTTCATCAACCATTTTAGGTCAAAATGTAGGAGATTTTGTGCTGGTCGTAGACATGCGTCACTGGAATCCAACAGATTTACACATTTGGTTCAGGGAGCCTGAAATTCCAACCAACTGCTCCATTTGACTCAATGTTAATTAATGCAGAAATGAGAGAAGCAATATCTCAATGGAACCTCAATGATACTACTGGCAATATTGGTGTGTATATATATTGCAACGTCTTCGGGCAGTAGCAGCCACACTGTCAAAATTAGTTTTGTTACTTGTCACTTGAAATGAGTGAATGCAGTGTCTTACACACAGAGAAGACAGCCATTAACTCACGAACACACCTTCGGGCAATTCAGAGTCCTCCGTTCACCTAACCTGCATGTCTTTACAATGAGGCAGGAAACCGGAGGAACGGGAGGAAACACACTCAAGCACAGTGGAAACAAGCATAAATACTTGATATGTATAATTATCCACTAATAGTTTGCAGCCTCCTCGTGTGCAATGTTTCCATATTTTGCTCAACGTGCGATACTCGAGTATTTCCTGCCGCCTCTGTATACACCCACAGCTTCAGTCAAATGCAGCTAGATTTCAATTAGAAGAAATAACTGTGCAGAGATTAGTGCAAAAATGGGTATTTCTCAACTGATAGGAGGAAGTCCATTCTGCTGACTAATATGTCAGCCATTCAGAAATATATTGAAGCAGTATTAGAAGTAAGTAAATGTGATTTCTGGACAAGCCCTCACATACACACCAGGCTTCACTGGTACACAAAAAGAAATACATTTATACATTCTATATTTTTCACTTTCACATAGTTTACAGGGTGCGCTTCAGAGACTTTTCCAGCTTTGCTGCTGCACAATCCAAAAACATAAAGACTTTCCAAAGGAAACACAAGCATTTATTCTCAGACTACAGACCAGTCTATAATTGTAGAAGTGGGCACGCGAATGGAATGAAAACCAAAAAGCCTGAAAGCCACGTGGTGTATCGAGAATTTGCTGCGAAAAGGGAACATAGTTATTTAAAGACTGGTATCGATTCTTCGCCAGAGTCCCATCTGAACAAAAGTTGACAATGTTGAACCTTGTCTACAGTTTGTAGCCAGATCCTCTGCAATGACTCTCTCTGATAACCTTCACGTATTGTATCTACTGTAATTAAGGCAAAAACTGGCCTTATATGATCTCATGAAATATTATTATATACTGTTAGCTGTGGGTATGTCTCTGCAGCAATGTTACAAAAACTATTTCCTTTACTTAAAGTGGAAAGTGACAAAGAATATTCGTTTAAGTACTGTGATAGTTTTGAGGTACTTTTACTTTTCTTTCCCACTTTGTACTACCTAATACTTCTACACAAGGAAATGCTGCATGTTTTACTCCTCTACATTTATGCGATGGCTGTGCAGTAGTTATTTTGTTTGTGAATATTTAAATCTAAGGATGTAGCAAAAACTTCATGCTTTAGAAATAAAACGTCCTCGCCCCTAAATTTGAATTTCTGCATACAAATTACTCATGTGTTGCATCAATACTTCAAGTTTGAGTGGGACATAGTGTAGAATCTAAGACACGGGGCATTAAGTTGAATTTCAAACTGGCAAGTTTTGTTTTGCTTCATTTTAACTCCACCGTGATCTCCAGATTCAAGCTACTCAAATGTGCACCTCAGACATTAAAGAAAGCATAACTGTTGCACACTGTAGGTGTACACAGGCCTTGCTTTGAGACTGTAAACAGCCCCGGTTGTGTAAGAGGAAACAGGGAGGGCTCTGTTTGAAGCCTCCTTCCCTGTAGGGAAACGTCTGGCAGTAAACAGGCTTGTGCTGCCTTGTGATGCCAGAGGTTTCACGAAAAGAGGATATTTATGTATTCCTGTGAGTTCCTAAAACTCAAAAGGATCTACAGGGGATGGAATGTTCCACTTTTTCTGTGAATGTGTGACAGGTCCCCATTAAGTATCATCACTGTTTGACAAACACGGCAAATTCTTCCGCTTGTCCAGTACGGAAGATGGGAAGTTCTTCTCCACTTCCTCCTGTGATGATATGGATGATAATGCGGACATACTCTTCCATTACAATCCTGCTGAGTGCAGCTGTAAATCACAGCTGAAACTCTTGTCTCTGCACCAAGCTCCCTTCAGACAGACACAGACACGGGCCGGGCAGAGGAGGGTACTTTGTAATGGACCGATTGACCGGAGCCCTCAGGGACTAGAGGCCATGTCTGCATGGCACCCGGCCTCACTGCCCCGGCCAGACAGCAGCGGTGAAAAATAAGACGCAGTAGATTAGATGAGAATTTAAGACAGAGAGCGCGTGACACAGACACATGTCATTTCTCAGCTTTCGTAACACCGAATCTTACATAATGTGCTCAAACACACACAGCGGGCAACATGACAGTGTGCCATAGTCCCTGCTGTTTGCCGGGTGACACTTCATTCACAACAGCCTACCTATGGGGAGGCCCATGTCCACAAACATGGATACATATACATGTAATACACTATGGGACAAAATTCAACCAATTTCTTTCATTAATCAATTAATTCATTGAAGCTCAGCTAACCTGTTGAAGTGTTAACTGGCCATTCTCAATAAAAGTGCTTATTCTAAAATTCTAAAACTCCATTGCGGTCACTTCCCCTGACTTTCTTTTTAAATAAGACAGTCGCAAACAGGAAATAGAAACACTAAGGGTGTGTTCAAACTTCCTGTTGTGAGACCAATGCTACCAATCATCTCAACCAGACGCTTAATTCCTAAAATATACCATAGGATCACAACTCATGTGACACACAAAGCCAAAATGATGCTGTGGGACTGCCACGATGGTATAATGATGCTGAACATAGCGTCAATGAATTCAGATAAGTGGCAGTAATTTCAAGTGTGCAAACATACTGTACTTAACCTGCATGTACGCACAAACACAAAACAAGGCATCGGCTTGCTTCTGTGCCCGAAAAGGCCTTTGAACAACAACAGCTGGGCTCTTGACTGTGGGAAGCGTCACAATGGTCAGTTTAGAAAGCAGACATGAGTCAACCCTTCTGTTTGTGAGCTTTGTGGATCAAGCAGTGTGCGGGGGGGGGGGGGGTGCATACAGAAACCTCACAACAACGCACATTGATCACAATCCTCAACACAGAGCACTAATGTTTAGGAACCGTTTCATTTGAATGCTATTAAACTATTAAAATCTTTTCATCAGGCCAAAATGACATTGCTTTTTTATGTTTTCATGGTGAACCATTAATTCATTGGAGCAGAGCTGTAAAGTGGAAACATGCTGAAATAAAAATCAAATCAGAGATCATAAACACCTTGGAACGACTCATCTTTGTCACACAAACACCTCGGACCCTTCTGGACTCACCTTCAGTCCATCGCTGGGTAGCCGATAGCCAAACCGTGCAGGCAGATCCTCGAAGTTATCTGTTTTGTTGTCAAATGAGTACTGAAAGACAGAAAAAAAAGGTTGAATTATTTTTTATTCAAGTTATAATATCATGGAATCACATTGTTATTGTTAATCTGGATGGGAGGTGTGTTTCTGCGTGTGTGTGTAACTGTATTACACGGCCATATTATTGCTGTACGCTTCTATGTCTAGTCCCTACATGCAATTAGAACTACTCACAGCAGCGATGTCGGCCTCCACGGGCAGCAGGTTGAGGAAGGCGAAGAGCTGAACGGTGAAGATGGTGTAGATCTGTGTGGCCGACAGCATTAGCATTCCCAGGGACAGCAGCATCTTGGCATCACGTTACAACCCCCAGCTGCTGTGCCACTCATAAACATACACAACCATAAACACACTCACACAGACAAATGACCACGCACACTGGCCTGCAGCGGAACCGCTTCACACTGTCTGTTGTTGTCACACCTAGAAAAGACACAAATGTTGTGTTTATAAAGCCTTAACTCACGTACGCTGATGAAATAGTGTTGATGTTTCATGATTTAAATACACAAATTTAAAACGCATGCAGGTGTGATGTTGTTTGGGTGTCTGTCATTGTTGGCTGTTCCAATCCTCCGTCTGGTCTTTCAATTATCTCACTCATCATGTGTAGTACGCCCTTTTGGGCTTTAATGTGTTGTAGTGTAATTTATTGGTAGTTCACCTTGCAGGACAAGTGCTTCTCACTTGTCCTACTTCAGCCATTTAGACTGAAGTGAGCGTCGGGCCTAACATCGCAGCATAAGGAGGTACAAGTTCACAAAGTGGAGGGCAGCATGTGATCAGGTCAGGAGAAACCAACAGCTAGGCTTTAGACTACTAAACTGAGTTATCATGCTGCAAAGGAAAGTAGAGTTTAAGGATTATATGGTTTGTATGGTTTTGTATGGTGTACATTTGGTAGAAAACAAAGACGTTTCCTAATTAAATGAATACACCATGGATGTGAAATGTCACCATTTGTCTAGTTTATACAATGTATTGTAGCCATAAAGCTTTGAACAGATTCACTTACAATTTTGAAAGAACATAACAGAAGTTATCAGATGGGGATGCCAGCTTCAGTAGCACCTGTCCTCCTTTATTAAACTAAACACTATACTGTGTCTAAGCATCCGTCACTAAAGGTACCCTGTAAGATCCTGTCACCTCAAACTGAATAAGTTGTTTTTAAAATATCTTTTAGAAATCCCAGTTTACCCATTCAAAAACGAATTGTCAAAATAAAACCCATGTACTGTTTTATAGCCAAAATAGATTATTAACAAATAACTGTGACCAAAAGTGATAAGCCCATCGATATATCTATTTAAAAAAATATATTCTCATGCGTACAGTGAAGTCAAATTTGAACAGATTTCTGAAAGATCACCAATAAATGACAACATCATCCCAATATTCGTATGTTACCAGTGAGAATCGAAATAACAAAACGTAAACCATGTAACCATTGATCATTCAAGAACCGTCTTTAAAAAGATGCAGATAAAGTTATTGAGGAACTGTAATGTAACAGGAATGTCTGTTTTTGGATATATTTTTGGTAATAGTTACTTCCAAATTTGTGGCAGTTGACACATTTTTGTTTTGTCCTATAGTACACATCATTACATCGCCCAACACTAATGTCAGTGTCACACAAACATGTCATAAACACGTTATAAAATGACTTGCATGGGGTTACTTTGGTTCATTTTCAACGGAAACAGTAGCTTACATCTCTTTCTTCTTAAATGATCAAGTAACAGAGAACCGAAGGGGAAGTGAAAGCAAAGATGACTAAACATCAAGTGACAGCAATCACATCTCATCGACACAACGAGGTTATAATTAGACGGCTACATTCACAAAGCCAGTGTGAGAAGCAAAAAACTGTTAATGAGAAAACCAGCTGCCAAATATTGTCAACAACCGTCGGACATTGACGTCCACACCACGTTTACTTTAAGCGAGCTGCCTAAACAGAGCGCCCTGTACCCCCCGTGTTAGCATGATGCTAATACAGGTAGCTAGTCGGTTTGTCGCGGGTGTTTACCTTGATTTTTGCCTGGAGGTTTACCTTATCCAGGGATTTAGCTACTGGCGGGGACATCGCTCTCCTTCGCTGCGCGTCGTGCCGAGGAACATTTACAACAGCGAATATGTTGGATGGACCTCATCCCGTTTGAATGATGGGTCGGAGAATGTGAACATAAACGTTACAGTTTAATCCCCTCGGCTAGCTTCTTCAGCTTCCGCCACATGCACCGATCTACATTCAGCTTCTGATTGGACGAACCGTTTGTCAATCATTTGACTCCGGAAGTGACTCCAGACGTAAACATATCCACGTGACGGCACACGAAAACATTTGCTGCCTTTTACAGTTACATGAACGGCCTGAACCGAGCAGCAAGTCTATATTTAAAGCTTTATTACAACTGCATCAGGGCAGTACAAGATGCATAGAGTTCATGTAGAAACTGTATATTTCATCTGGAAAACGGTATATATTTTGTTTCGTCAGCACAAATGGTGTCATCCTCCACCCTAAAAAGAAAAATCTTGAAAACAGATAACACTTTTAAATCTCTAGCACCCTCTATAGTAAACGGAGCTCATCTTCTTTTTAGGGTATCTGTTGTGTATGATCAGTGTTGTTAAATGGTTGCAAACAAGAGGTGGAAAATATGTTTTTATCTATTGTGAATGCTATTACAACGGTGGGGTTCTGCCTGCAACAATACTTGTGTAGAGAATAGTTACTTCGAAAAATAAAGTGTAACTATAATCTGATGAATTTGTACAAGTTCTCAAAATTACAGTGTTTGGATATATATCTACATTTCTATATCTACATTTCATTTGTGTTCTGATTTGTGCATTAAAAAACAGAAAGCATCATAACTGGCATGTCTTGAACCTTGAGAAACCAAGTCACTCTTTGCTCCCAGCCAAGATTTAACACAAAAACTTTGTGGACAGTGTCGGACTTTAAAAGGTCAAATGCAAAGTAGCTGTACCCTGTAAAACCTTTAAAGAACATTTTAAGCTAATGTGCAACCAGTGGGTAGTCCCTTTGTTTCCCACAAAAAGGCAGCGCGAAGAGCTGACGTCAGACTGATCCCACATAAAAAATGTACTTATTAAGTTATTTTAGATAGAAAAATGTTAATAACATGTTAAATAAAGTGTTTCAGTTTACACCTGAGATTTATTTTCTAAGATTCTGATTCTTGAACCTTTAATCTTGTGTTAGTCCTCTCTGCAAATATGTTCACGTACTGCAGTTCAGTAGAATAGAATAGAAACAACAGCCCACTCAACAAATGTCTATTGCATACAGTTTTAGAACAAAATCAATAACTAGAATCAAAATGCTGTGTTCTGTTTTGAATCTTTAAAACCTTTTTGAGTCAGTTAGATATGCTGATATACAACATCACCTGTATCGCTGTGTAATGATTACCTCAGATAATAAGTCTGTTACTGCACCTGATCTTCCAGACGTGGCGAGGCCATATTGCTGCTGTAAAAAAAGTGGCAGATCAGGTGTACAGATGAGACCAAATCATCAATAAATGGCAATTGTCATGTGCAACACAACATTTTATTACATTTCTCAAATGCTGAGATAGATAGGCCAGTATAATATAATCGTTTTTTATACTAAATAGCACGTGTTTAAGTACAAGTCAGAGAGCGAGTCTTTGCATATTTATAATGTGTGCTTATACCATGGCCAGTCCCTTGGGTGTTGTTTTTCTATACAGCCAGCAACATCTTTTCATCTTTTTAACCGATTTTATCTGCCTTTCTTGCACTTTGAGATTTTCCTATTCAACATTATTTGATGGTTCAGTCTGAGAGTTGAGAAAAAATGTACCACCTATCAAAGGAACCCTTTTAAAACCCAAATCGATTGACTTTAAAAACATCACATCACCAAGCCAAAAAGATATGTCAACTTCTGTACACCTGATATTTTAGACACTTTTTGAAAGCAACTATTGCTTTGTCTTTTGTTCACTTATAAAGTGACGTGTCTTCCACAAACCCAACCCACCCAACTCCTGCCCCCCTCCCCACAATGACTTTGCCTCTGACAAACTCACCACACACACTCCTCTGGTCGACCGGAGCACAACAGAGGAGCCAAACGACGGTTGTCCGAACCATGAGGGTCTTTATCTGCTTCGAGGGCTCCTGTGAGCCTGTTGATGTCCCTTCAGATCAGACTGTGGGGGCCATGAAGCAGATGGTGAAGGTAATACAAGGCTACAGTCATGGCCCAGGGTTAATGGCCCTTAATGTTTTGCTTTGACTGAATTTAGAAAATGTGCCTGATGATTTGGACGTATTACTGGAGGGAAAAGAGACTGTTTGGTGGATTTATCACATTTTTAGGCCTGATGTCGCTTATGGTGAAATACTATGCATTGTAAGACTGTTACTAGTTACCTGTTAGTTATTAGTTAATATATATATCAAGAAAAAGCTAAATCTCTCCATCATTGGAGACATTTTTTATTCAGCTCAGACAGAGAAGCAAATGCTGCTACAGACACTGAACACGATCTATCAAGAACTTTGTTTCTTGGTCAGTACTCTATCACAGCTCCATTAATGTCCACTCTGTCCCTTTCGGTAGGATAACTTTCTGGTGCAACTCTCAGATGACAAACAGCAGCAGTATCTGGAGCTGAGCTACGGTGGTGCAGCGCTGCAGGACAGCTGGGCTCTGTGCGACGTGGGCATCACAAGTGGCAGTGCCATCCGATGCCTGATAAAGGTATTAAAACAGTAAAAGAGTTTAGAGATTTGGAGCTGTTTTTGGGATTTGCAGTAAATACAATCAGCTTGCTTTAGGCCTACACTTCAGAAGCTATCTATCTATCTGCAGGGCAGTGTCCGCCTGAAAACATATTTTATTTACACATACCCAAGACTTTTTATGTGAAAAATAAGAAAACCTGCTACCAAAACTTTCTAATCAGTTCAAATATTTTATAAAAGTGTAATGTCGCCTCCAACGTTCTAAGTTACACACTCACTTTGCCTTTGTGAGAAGAAAATTATTTAATGCATAGACCATTTCGCAGCTGTAAACATTCCAAATGTGTCCAAGTTTATTTCCTGTTGCAGTGTATGTGAATGACATAGGCTGACAGGAAGTAAACTTGGACCCAATTCTGTTGAAACGGTCTATACGTCTACTCCTGAAAGCAGGTGAGTAGTTCTTGCACAACAATACTTCAGTAGGGTTTATGCTGGCTGCCACAGGCGCTTTATGCTGGACCTCCATATGTTGAGGGAACTGTACTCCCCTCTCTCAATATACACTGTCACTGAGGATTCACTTCAAAACATAACTTGTTACTTCTCATCAAAGACATCCTTCTTAAAGTGAATTAATTTCATGTCAGACTGGTGCACTAATATGGAACAACATGTTCCCACATGCTGGGAGAGAAATTAGTTCTTGGCTGCCTGAGATCTTTAGTTTGTTCCCATTCGTCAGTTCCCATTCCAGGCTCATCTCCAGGCAACCTTGTGTAAAAGCTGACAGTGGTAAGCACGTATGTCCCATTGTCATCTTCTCATAAAAATAGTTGTTTTCTACAGCAAACTCCTCTTTCTCTTTGCTTGTACTACTTTTGCAATATTACCATAAACAAAAATACAATCAATAGTAAAAAAAAAGAGAGAATGTAATAAACAAGCTAATGAAATAAAAGTTCAAAATGTGTAACTCATACCGCTGACTTTTTGGCATATTTTTTTGATAGAAACAGGGATCCATCTTGTGACTAAATTCTTCTTATTCTTTTGTCTTATTAACTGCAAGGCCTTAATAATTATTTTTCAGAGTGAACGAAGGCCTGCGATGTGTGTGTTCAATGCTGTGACAGGAGAAACCTTACCAATCATGGGAAGTGAGGCTTGTCTGCACATGTCTGTTGCTAGATTGAAAACTGTGGTTTCCATGCAAAGTGGCCTCCCTGTCAGCACCTTCAGACTGAGCACACCTGCTGGTGTGCAGCTCTATGACTGCAACCAACTCCAAGACTACGCCATTGAAGAGGGTATGTCCTGCCTATTGTCGGGTTGATATGTGTATCTTCACAGTGAGTGCTGTGAAGCTCAAACAACTGTGAACAGTCTAAGAACATTCAGTTGATTCAGTGAAAAGTTCGATATAATGTATTTTCTTCTACATGATGATCACTTTAAATTGTGTAATGTACACAGCTGAATGTTGGCTGGTATATGAACTGTGTTTTAGGTATAGAGAGATGTAAAAGAGCTTCACTTTCACATGAACAAAGAAACAATTTGCAGTGTTGCACTATACAATGAGCCTCTTAGTTTTCTGTCCTCTCCAAATCCATGCACAGACAAATTTTAAATAAAAAAAAGTATACAAATGGAATAAATCAGATTTATTTTGAAATCCACACCATGGTTTTTTGTTTTTTTTAAATAAAGGCACTACTCTCCGTTTGGACACGTGGGATGGGTGGGTGCAGTTCCTCCACGGTTGCCTCCTGGGCCACAGATTGATAGTCCAGAGCCACCTCTCAGAAGAGAAGCCAGTAATGAGGTCAAAACTGTTGTTGTGCAGCTTATCCATAAAAGTCAGAGTGCAATTTTACACACAAAAGTAAATCTTTCTTGTCCTGCTTATCCAGGTTTCAGCTGCAGGTAGCACTCTACATTGCTGCCGCTTTAGGCCACCTGGATCTGGCCTGCTGGCTGCTGGAGAGGGGGGTGCATGCTGAGAAACCAGTGGGGGTCCATCCGTACCGCCAGTGGTGCCACCAAACCTCCCACCGAGACACCGGAAAGTGTCCCACCCACACAGCTGCAGAGAACAGCCAGCTTCTCATCCTCAAACTCTTCATCAGCAGAAACCTTCTGACCTTGGCTTGTCTGGACCCCGGAGGTCGGGACCCTTTGAAAGTTGCTCTTCAGCATGGTCACAGCGATTGCGTGCGCTACTTAGCCAACAAGCTGTGCTCCGTAGTATCCCTGTCAAACATATCCCTGCCCATGTGCATCTACCTCCAGATAAAACGCTGGGTGTATTTGGGGCAGAAGAGGGCAGCCTCCAATCGATGCCAGTACACCAGTGCTGCGTTCAAAGCCAGGGTGGGGGATACGTTGCTGGTGGATGGCTTCAACCAGCCAAATATGTCTTCCAAATCCATGAAAGCTGCGACCAAACCAAGCAGAGGAATCAAGGCCAAAGCTTTGCAGCCGTTACCTCCCATCCGCAACCTACCTTCAGTACCACACCTGCCCGGCCTGCAGTCTGTGAGCCCTGGTGACTTTAAAAAGATGCAGATAAAGCAGAAACAATATGTTAAAAGCAGAGAAGATGGCTTATTGGATGAAATGTGCAGGGACGATCGCAGTTTATGGAAGAGCAAGTTTATACTTCTGCCAATCGACAAAAAAAGCATTCCCATCCCATCCCAGCCAAAATCTTCCCTTATTCTGACTGAGTCTCTGGAGTCCATCTCTCACCGCTGTGGCCAAACACCAAGAGAAAAAGCCATATACTGCTTGACTGTAGCCAGGTCTTTATCCTTTATGCTATTATACAATATGTGCAATAAAAACACATTGTGGTTGGTCTCATAAATGCCATGGGGTTCAGGATCAGTCAGGCATAATTTGTTTTACTAGCAGTCAAATTATATACACCACACATTTCTTTTGTCTGCAATCCTGTCTCTTACTATTGCTAATTTAGGTTTTGTACAGATGTATTAAATGACCACTTTAACTGGCCAAAATAACTAAAGTTGCTGCATATACCAAGACATTTCCATAATTACTGTAGCTTCTGTAATGAGACATAAAACAGAAGCTGTCGGTTGTCTCAATTTTTGACTGTAGTTATACACCACAGTTACAGTTCATCGACTGATGATGGTTAATAACTTACAGAGGTTACTCAAATGCTATACATGACAGCTCTACTCTACTATGTGTAATGCATGTTTCTCTTATGCAGTACCTTCACAGAGAAGCCTTGGTTGAAGCAGTTGAGCATAGCACGGACCCTGATCAGGAAGCGTGTTCGCACCACGGCCTGCTACTCTCATCCAGATCTGTCTCTCACCAGCTCAACTGCTCATGGATCGCCCATCGCCATCGGCTGACTGAAAAACTGCGAACGACGAAGACTCCTTCCGAGAGACAACTGAGGAGTGTATCTCAGGCTTAGTGTGTCATTGAAAATTAAACATTTCTGTGCTCAGCCAAATCTCTGCTTTTTATTGATTTTCACAGAAAGAGTGATAAACGGATATATACAAATAAAACTGATTTGAAAACATGTTTACTCACTCACAGGAAGTGAAAGGATTCATTGATGCAATTTTGTGTTTGACAAAAGTCCAAGCAAGGACTAGCTTAGAGCACGAACAACGACATCTTCTGCCCTCTTTCACTATGTGTGTAGTTGCACAGCTATATACATTTTGTTAAATATATTTTTCATTTCAATTATGTATGAAGGGATAAACAATTATATATGAAGGGGCAAACACACAAGGACCTGCAGAGGTTGAGGGTTTCATATTTAAATCATAGGCGGTGCATCAATAAAGATGATGATTCGATTCATAATGAATTACTCATGGACCTCCTCCTTTTGGGATGAGGGTTCCTACATTTATATTAATTTCTGAAATATAATATACAAAATTCTGCTGTTGTTGCTCTCTGTTATTATAAGACACATGGCTTAACGGCGCCTTTATAAGTTAGACATTTCCGAGCACTTAAAGGCAGCGTTTGATGATGTGAAATCCCGTTTAACAAAATCTCGCGATGTTGTGATCATAGTACTCAGTGCTCTTGCCCCGCCAGTCAGTGAACAACCGGGGTGTACGTAGCTAGATATGCCTAAGAACCAGTGCACGTAGAATCCTGCATAGGTTTACACTGAGTTTATGGACGAGCACTGAGTACTGACGGGGAGCATGTTTAAAACCGATCCTGTGTTTAGTAACGTTAACTGAGTCGCAGAAATCACAGAATCAGAAAATTAGTGGACGAGAAGTAGTTGAGCCAGCCGGGTCCGACAGTCAGCGTGTGGGAATGGCAGCTCTCCGGCCGATAAAAGGCATCCTGAAGAACAAGAACAGCGGGACAAACGTCCAATCCCTGCCCGAAGAAGTACCGGAAGACAGTCCCGAACAAGAGCCCATACTCTCGGAAGATGACCCACAGTAAGTGTTTTTGCTTCGCCGTCGTGAGGCGGTTGGTAGACAGGTAACGTTAGCTAGCTAAACACTTGTTAGCCTCTCTACGTCAGGTTAATTGTGACATAAAAGTCACCTCTTTGGGCTGGTAATGTTGGTCAACAGAGAGTGTGTGTGAAAACTTTCTGGTAGCTTCTTGTGACTATGACTATGGCTTCCCTCCCAATGATTCAAATCGTAATGGCATGTGTAACCAAAGAGCTAACTGTCTAGCTGTCAAGTTAGCTCGTTCACTAGCCAATGATTTCAGATGACGACTGTGTGGTTGTAACGGTTTTTAACGGACGTTCACATTGGTAGTTAACGTCCGTTCGAAGATACCGAAACACAAAACTCTTACGGACGACTTGCCTCACATTGTGGTGATTAAAAGATATTATCAAGTGTTAACATGTATCGTTAAACAGCGACAACCCCCAGCCAACGAGGAGCAGTAACGTTATAGGGCGTATTGACATCTAAACGTAGTAAAAGTATTGTTTATGTCCTCAATATTAGTATCATTAGTTTGTTTTCTCCATAAGTAAAAGAGGTAGGCAGTGCTGGCTTAAACTGCAAAACAAACCTTTGTCTGTTTCCTGCTACATTAGAGGGATTTAAGATCTAGGCCAACTATAATCTATTAACACATTTTAGGGTATTACCACTGAGATTGTTTTGTTTTACTTTGAATTAAAAACGCTGAAATATGTGCTGCTCAAAGCTTTTGACGGGCTGTGAGGGATTGGGATCTCAAACCAGTGGGTAAACAAAGCAGAGCTGGGTGTACCCCAAGTTATACTTCTAGTGACTAACACTTGACCTTATATCTGACACCGACAACTGCATTACAGGCCGGGTCTAAACTGGCAGCAGTCTGTTTTAAACAAGCCTCTCTTACCTGATCTTAGCTTTTAGTTCAACTTCTACAACAATCTCAAGACTGCTGTTGAATATTCACCATTATCAGTATAACTGCTGTCAAATCCCCTGCTTCCTAAACACATCTCACATGCCCTTTAGTCCAGACACCTATGGGATGCTTTGGCAGAGGACATTTGACTGAGCTCTTCATGAATTCCACCCCGATGTTGACCAGGATGATAGTGTGGCTCCCTCAACTCGCTGTAGAGGACGCCCGGCTAAAATATCAATCGTGTTCGATGGCAATGGGGGGCGCCTCAGATGAGGTGGAGAACAGCACAGAGGAGATACAATGGGTGTGTGCAAACTCACGGTTTAGTGGAGTGACTAGGCTCCATAATGATCTAAAGATGTGCTGACTGGGTAAACTCGCATGGGACTGCTAGGTCAGCTGTTCTGTCGTCGAAAGGTGCTCGGTCTCAGGGTCGGGTTGGAAGTTGGCTTCTTTTTTTCTGGAGCCTTTCCCTTCTCTTATGCGTTGGTATTACTGACACTGACACTTTTGCTGTGGCAGCGAGACATAGAGCCTCACATCACCAGTGTCTCAGTGTCTTCCACAATCTCCCACAATCCTTCTCTCAGTCTCCTCTCTGTGCCCCGAGGAAACTCTGGACATGTAGAATTCCCTGAGTAATGCTGTTGCAATGTAAGGGAGATTCGCAAACACGAGGGAGCATCTTTTGCTAAAACACAAAAATGCATTATGTTGCATCATTTGTATAGCTGTGGCTCTATGAAATTGTTGAGAAAAAAAAGACATTGTTGGATATTTTAAGCTATGTACGTCATCTGTGATGGCACCTGTGAGTAACTGGGTAAAAACTACCCGAGGCAAAAAAAAAAAAAAGGTTGCATGCTTAATGTGTTGCTGGTACAAATCCCACCGTGGTTTGAGAAAGTACACAAGCTGGAAACTATTCAAAAAGAAAGCATTGATTGTTTTCAAAAAACAGGGTTTAAAATATGCGATCTAAAAGCTAGATGCACACAAATATGATGGCTTTGAAGGCTTTACATGAATTGAATTATGTCTGATTTATAGTCAGGGTGATGAATGACACCACCCACCTGCCAAATGCTGCCAAATCTTCGATGCAAGCTGGAGATTCTGCCCACTGTAACAGTTGGCTTGGGCAGTGGATTCCTCAGTAGAATCATTTAGACAAATCATATTTAGATTTTAACATCTTTTTCAAAAAATGAGTCATTAGAAAAAATACGTGGTTATGGTGTGATGCCTCTGATCATTAGATCAACATGCATGAATACAGCACATTGGGTATATGATCCGCTTTGCGATAATGTTCTCTTACTTTGGAAGGCAAGGAGCCATTCTTCGGTTGGTTAAAGCCACAGTGTGAATAATTAGGCCATAAAAGGACGGGAGTTACTAAAGAGTTCCAGCCCCAGCACCGAATCTTTCAGCCTTTTCTGTGTTGATACAAAAATAGTCCCTTCTTTTAGTGACGAGGAAGAAGAGATTTCTGGGAGTATCTTGCATGCAGCAAAGCACCAAATCCACAGAGAAGAATGCTGCCACTGTCAGCTCTTAAGTTTAAAGCAGATACATCGACTGTATGCAGTAACAGCGTATGCGATTTCAAAGCCGTACACACTACTACATTGATTTTTATTAGCTCCTTATATGGAATTTGATTGTGATTTGCTTCATAAGCCCCATGACAGTGTGAGTCAGCATTCTTTTTTAATACGTCAATGACCCTTCAGTGTCATCCGCTGTGTCAAGTACCGGTATACTAAACCTTTGGCAGGTCTTCACTACTCTGGCTCCGTGCATACTAAGGAGTTCTCAGTGTGGATTGTACAGGAGCCCACATAGGCCATTTGTTTGTTTCTCTCGCAGCTCTAATTCGTTTCCTTAAACATTGTAGGCCTTGGTAACTCATTAGAGACTGCCACCTTTGTTACCCCTTCAATCACCCACCATTATTTAGTTTACAGTGATACATAGGCCGCACACACCTAGTCATATATAATTCATGGACGCTTCCATGACACTCAATCTCTCCTTCACTGTCTTGTGGGCCTCATCCTGACTGTGTGACGGACAGCTTGACTGGCAGCTAGTGAATCTGCCACTTTCAATGTTGTGGACAGAAAAAGACTACTCGGACATGTAACCCTCCTGTGCTCAGGTCAGCTGAGGCCAACTGTGGGCACGGAAAATAAACCATTTCTGTATTGATGAGGAATTGAGGAATCTGGAACTGATGGTCAGAATCAACAGAGGTGTGTGTGTGTGTGTGTGTGTGTGTGTGTGTGTGTGTGTGTGTGTG